CGGAATTACTAGTATTTATCAATCTCTACTATCGGATACAATGATAACCAATGCAAGGTTATTAACTAGAGGTACTGTGAGCGATGAGCTCACTAAATGATACCCCCCGCCTCCATATAGTTAGAATGGCAAAGTCCATGTTTTGCTGTGGCCAGGAAACCCAAAATATGTGTCTGATCAAAAAGTAAAATAGGAGGTGCACAATGGCAATATGTAATAAAGATTCTGTGAAAGTTTCGTCAAATTTCATTCAGTGGTATGAGAGGAGTTGCGGATAAGAGATGGGTACCCCAAAGCGTAACAGACGGACGGACGGACGGACAGACGGACGGAATTAACGATTACTATATACCCTCCCACTTTTCAAGCGGGGGGTATAAATATCAAACACTGAAATCAAAGTTTAAAATAACAGCAAATATATTAAAATATTGAAATACATGTACGCGTGCATATACCAAAAAACACAATCAACTTTTAATTAATTAAAATTCCATTTACAATTTACTGACAAATAAAGCGAAAGTTGAAAGATTTTTTTCCTAGCTGTATGAGTTGTAAGTCAGAATTTTCCACTTAAACGCATTAATAATTTAGCTATACTAGTATTTCATTTATACAATAATATACCTACCATTCAATCTCCTTTAAAACAATTTTACCCATGTCAGCTGGTTATATCCAGGTCTGAATTAAGATAGACAAAGTTTGTACTTTGAGTCGATAATACTATAACGACAGGATATATCATAATAGATACGTCATTAATGAAACGTTTTTATTGGTTACAGAAAGGGGTGTTCTCTTACAAGGTCCTTTACACCAGTTAGATTGACAGGTGCACATGAGATGTTTTAAGTTTCTGTATTATCAAATTATACCTGTCGAGGTTACTGGTCTGTTCTACCATTAATATTTTTATACCCCCCGCTTGAAAAGTGGGAGGGTATATAGTAATCGGTATTTCCGTCCGTCTGTACGTCCGTCCGTCTGTTACGCTTTGGGGTACCCATCTCTTATCCGCAACTCCTCTTAAACCATGGAAGGAAATTTGATGAAACTTTCACAGAATCTTTATTATACCCCCCGCTTGAAAAGTGGGAGGGTATATAGTAATCGTTAATTCCGTCCGTCTGTACGTCCGTCCGTCCGTCCGTCTGTCTGTCCGTCTGTCCGTCTTTCCGTCTGTTACGCTTTGGGGTACCCATCTCTTATCCGCAACTCCTCTCATACCACTGAATGAAATTTGATGAAACTTTCACAGAATCTTTATTACATATTGCCATTGTGCACCTCCTATTTTACTTTTTGATCCAACACATATTTTGGGTTTCCCGGCCATAGCAAAACATGGACTTTGCCATTATAACTATATGGAGGCGGGGGGTATCTTTATTTCGCTCAATATCTAGTTTAATATTGCAATTGTGCACCTCCTAGTTTACTTTTTGATCTGACATATATTTTGGATTTTCCAGAGGAAAACATGGATACTGCCATTATATTCATATGGGAGGCGGGGGTATTGTTTAGTGAGATCATTGCTCATAGTACCTCTAGTCATTTCAGAGAAGAGGACATACTTTTGCGGATGTATAAGCCAAAGCCATACCAAGCCCTGTCCACTTCTCTCAAGAGAATATGTCCTAAAATACTCACATGACGTGCAGGGAAAATTTTAAAGTCGTAAGAAGCACAAAATAATTTGTTTAATAGCGTAACCTACATGGAAGAATGATTCAAATGAAAGTGTTATCTTCAAAATAAAAAAAATCACAATTTAACCTTCCAACCAAATATATATGAAATCCTTAAATCTTTTCGCCCTCGTAGACACCAACCCAGGCTCTTTATTCTTTGGCAGATGTTTTACCTGTCAAGGCAGGGCCGTAGGACCCCCCCCCCCCCCCCCCCCCCCCCGAAAAATAATCTTGTCTATATATAGATGGAAAACCTACTTAATATATGCTTGTGTCCTTCAATAGATGCTTGATTTCAATTTGAGTGTGTTTTATCATATTATACAGCAACTTATTTTCCAGAGAAAGATCCATAGCTGCCTTACCGAGGATTCGGCCGACTCAAGTATTTAAAAGGAAATCACCTGTTCCTATTTATAGATACATGTACCTTTTCAATTCAAAATCAAACTACATGTTCTAATCATTTGTGGACCACTGTTATATTTTCATAGTTGAAAGTTTGTTACATGAAAATAATTTTACCTGCTCAATACTCTTATTCTAAACAAGAGTGTTAGAAAATTTTAAAAATAAAACAAGCTAGCAGCTATGACTTTGGGTCATTAAAAGAGTTTAAGACTGTTTTTTCCCGAGATACTTTCAAGGTGTAATGTTGTATTATATATTTCTTACATTATTTATACATGTATTATAAAATAAATAAAAGAAAACATAGGAAAAATGCACAGAGAGAAAAAAAATAAAATCACAGACAAGAAACAAGCACTGTGAGACTCGAACTCACGATCATAATGTCTTCAATCCAGCAATCATAGCACTACACCACGAAGTTGTGGGAATCAGATGGATAAATGTAAGAAAATAATTTCAGAAGAAAAATTAGATATATATTTTCAACATTTTCAATATGAAGACCACCTATAACCAAAATTATCTGAATGTAATGAATATACAGTCGTATCCAAATAAAATTATTCAGAAGTTGTTTTTCTGGTTAAGGGTGGTCTTTTGCTACAGTTTGTCATTGTTTAGGGGGGTACTTCAGTATTTACTATATTCTCCATATAAACTAAACAATTTTTATATCTATCATATGAAGGAATTATTAATATTTGAATATTATTTTTGTGTGATTTGCTTTACGGCATGTATAAACTAACATCGTATGACAGAATTTTGGTTAAACAATGTATTTAAAAAATTACTACTAGAGTAGGCGAAAGTGACTATCAAATGCGCTATGGCTTTTTAATAATAATAACAACATCTGATGCCTTTTTTTTTTACTTGTCAAGGAAATTTGTATTTTTGGTAGTGCCCCCTCCCCATAAAACCTGTTGTGACCTCCCCACCAAATTAAATTTCTTCCTACAGGCCATAGGCATCAGAATATCCCCTCCCCCCAACACATATACACTTATATTGCAGAGTATATTGCAGTGTCGGAGCATACAGAACAATGTCCAAAATCATCACAGTTATACATACAAAAACAGAACAAAACAAATATTGTATGATGAACAGAGAGTTGGGTATCTACTTTTAGTATGCATAAAATGTACATTATAATTGGCCTATGTATAATATCTGTAATATGCCTATATTGAACTATGTTGTTTTCTCTTATTATAATTTGCATTTATAAGTTGGCATAATAAAACAACAAACTCAGAATCTTCATTTGACATAATCCATGTAAACAGGTCAACATTGTTAAGCAGTATCAAATTTGGAAAGGTCTTAAAGATTTTATTTAAAAACTCTCCTCTTGAGTCATTATAAAGTGGACATTCTAGCAAAAAATGCAATTCATCCTCAGTTGGACTTGAGGTGCAGTAATGAAAGACTCTCTCACACCTGGGGAGAATTTAATTTTTACCACATTTATTAAGTTTTCTTTCATATCTACCCGTTTCTACCCTTAAACAATGATTACTAATTCTGAATCTTGCCAGTATATGTATTTAAACATAGGCATTGAAAATTGAGACTTACCATCCCCCCCAATTCAATAAGTCCCTCCCCCTTTCAATATGCTTCCGATGCCTATGCAGGCCTGTGGTGCGTGGCTCCGCACCAAGTGTAATAGAAAGGGAGGAAATGTGATGAATTATACCAGGGTTTGTTCCTGAATGATTAATCAGTTAGTCAAGTGCTCTCTCTGGCCATGCAGCGGAGACTGATAGATTCTCTCTGAGGGATCCACCACCCCCCACCCCCCACCCCCGGTTCTCTCACTCTTTTATATCTGGCACCCTTAAATTAAAAAACAACTTTAAACAGGATAATCAAATTATAATAAATTATGCCGATTGAATTTTGTTTGCATAAAATCCTCATGACCCCCCCCCCTTACTTATAAAGAGGTTATGGTCATTATTCAACAAATGAATTTGACCTCACTCTTTAATCATATTTTGTGTATCTATTCAATATAATTCAAAACAGAAAATTAAAAAGACATTAATATTTATTAGAACTATGACAATGAACTAAATTTTAATGGCATGACAATGACAATGAAACTTTAAACCTGCAACAAATGACATTCTCAGTAACTAACAAGTTGATGATACATCAATGCCGGATTGAACACATGATTTTCTTTGCTCTGTGTTACAGAAGGTACGTTTCTGTATTGTAGAGTCATGTATATATCCTTTCAGATCCTTTTTTTTGTGTACTAATGTAGAAAACTGAAGAAAAAAAATATAATTACACATGAAATCATGGGCAGTCCTTGTATTGCAACGAGTCATTCTAAGTTAAGTTCCCCTACAGAATGTTGTGGATTTTGTTTGATTTGATATAATATCATATAATGAAAAGTCTTATTGTACTAAAGAGCACCTGATTATTTTTGTGAATTATTCATGTACTTTACTTCCCTAACAATAATTAAAAATCAAAATTTATTCTAAGCTTTAGATAAATATTTTTTGCTAATTTTAAAAGGTAAATAAATGTCTTTTAAAATTAGCAAAAGATATTTATCTAAAACTTAAAATAACATTTGATTTTTAATTACTGTCAGGGGATGCTCACTCCTCCATGGCACCTGATCCAACCTCTGATGTTTCTAAAGGTCTGTATTTTCTCTACTACCCTACTACCGTTTATCATTGTTTCAAGAGTCTTTTGATTTTGTTATCATCATTTTCATGTTGTGGATTAAATAAGACATTTGACTGTTATCATGGTTATTGTTTCTAATGTTGTCAACTATTTGACAGTCATTGCATCTTTTGCTGTGTATTGTCAACATGTGCCTGGTATCGTACTATTTATGTCTGATTTTCTTTAATGAAATCTTTTCTTTTATTCTCTAATTCCTCTAGATTGATTTTAACATCTATTCCTGTCTCCAATGACTGACTTAATATTAGAATTATATATATTCCAGAATTATTGTATCTTTTCTTAGTAGTTTCGAAACTACTAAGAAAAGATACAATAATTCCTGAATACAATTATACATATTCAGGTGACTTGCTCACATATACTTACCATTATTACCTCTGATAAAGGCGTCCCCGTACTTATTCTTTAGCTGTCCATTAACGTACTCTTCTGTCTGCTACAGAGCAATATTCATGTAACCATCCAAACATGCCAAAACACCTAGTTAATACAGAAAGAGTCGTCTGAGTACACCTAGATTTCTTTGAATACTCTCATAAAAGACTTTAAAAAAATAAATGCAGCCCATACTTATTACTACGGTTAATTTTTTTAAATTAGAAAAATAAGTAATGCCAGGTGCCTGTAAAGAAATTGTGTGGCTGGACTCCTTTGTTCAGAATTTGAACCCTGACCCCTGCACCACTAGTCTCACAGGTACTCTACTAATTGAGCTCCCCAGTCTGATTAATCTCTGTTGAGATTCTGCTGGGCTAGATATTTGGACTGACACTTACAATACAAAATAGTTAATCCTCCCTAGACTATCTAGATTTCCCCTGCAACCAAGAAAATTCTGACTGCCCAGTCTTTACCTGTATTTAGTCCAAGTCTTTCTGAATACCTTATGATATTATTCCCTGTAAAATTATATATATCGTATAAATATTTGATTTTACCCAGCTGGGGTACAATGGAGTGACATGCCTTTCACTCTTTATAATGTTAAGGGGACATTTCTATAGAACATTTGTCATGCTTTTTTCACTATTTTTCAATTTTCTTATAGTATACATGTTAGATAGGTCTAATAAATTGATTTGTGAGCAAACCAAGCTACAACTTCTACTTGGGTTGCTATTCAAAATTATATGGTGATATCACTTATTCGAATGTCTCGCCCTCGTAGCTGCAGAAGGTCTAGGACCGCAGGCTTCAAGCAGCTAGGTCAAAGGAAATATCCAGGGAAAAGTCCCCAACGGGAAATATAGTCCACTCTGAATTCTGATGCCTTTGGTTTACCTCATTACAATGGAAAAGGTTGTCATATCTATAAACAACACCAAAATTTTTCATACCAACATCCTAATTACAAGTTCAAAGTCCATAAAACAATTCAAAATTTTGATGAATTGTATGTTGTATACATATTTATATAGATCTATATATATATATATATATATATATATATATATATATATATATATATATATATAATGTTTTAAAACTTTATTTAAAGAAGGTATCAGTTGCAAAGCAAACAGGACCTCCAAAACATCAGAGGTGGGATCAGGTGCCATGGAGGAGTGAGCATTCCCTGCTGACCGGTCACACCCGCTGTGTGCTCCTTGTCATTATTGGGGGAAATAACGGGAAAATGCGTCGTTAAATCAGTGTATAAATAAAGATGCTGCCTGTCAAACCCCGCAATCTTAATGTAGGCTCATAATCTGTGAAATTCCATGCACTTTGTTAAACTAATGATTTGTTTATAAATTGTTTAATTGAACTTGTATTTTACACAAGTAAGAAGAATTAATTTTTAAACAATTCTTTTAAATACTACGTGTGTGTACTAGTATTTGTTTATAAATTCAATATGCATTCCTTAAGATTTTTCTGGAGTTTATTGAACACAGGCATAAAATTTATGTTTGAAATGCTTTTTATTATACAGAATTGTGCATTAGGATATAACTCTAGTGTATGATAACTACTATACATAAATAAATGAACTCAAAATTTAGTGCAACCTCCCTCATCAACTGATTAGCATCATTAATGAATATGTGACAAGCTTCTCTATTTATTAACATACAATTAAACAGTTGGATACAAAGTAGCATGAATGTCAAATATGTTTACCACTAAATAAGTAAATTTACAGTGATTACCTTAATCCTTTAAAAAATGATTACAGACTTATGCACTTTGGTGAATTTTGATAGGGTACACTGTGTAACAAGAAAGGAGAAAAAGTTTTGCTGGACTGGAAATTAAACCCGGGACCCCTGCATCACTGGTCAGGTGCTCTACCGAGTGAATTATCCAGGCTAATACCCAAACTATTTCAAATGTGTAGATCTTGAAACAAAAATACAAAAATCATTTTTTTAAAAAGCATGGACCAAAAAAATTTAAATGATATCATACTTAAGTTATTTAAAATTCATACAGTGTACCAAAATGTATATATGTAAAGAATTTTAAAAAAAAAATTATTGCAAATTTAATTCCATTCTCTTTAAAAATATTCTACATATATACTTAATTGAAGAGATTAAATGGCTCTATACAAAACGTTCATATTCAGAATATTTGTTTCAAAAAATAAAAACGTTAATTTACATATTATTCAAACTTAAGAAAACATATTTTAAAAAAATATATAAACTATCGTATCGTACCTAAATAATCTACAATATAATGACTACATCCAGTTATGAACGATAAAACTACAAAACTATCAGAGTATATCAGAGATTGTGATTTATATACACCATTTAATAAACACATTGCTAGTTACGAGTTCCAAAGTTCATCACACATTTCAACAATGCTTTCTGCAATGCTGCAGGCATTTGCTGCCTGACCAGAAGTGAACACTTCGCCGGGCACAGTGTTAAAGAAAGGGTACATCATGCTGTCCGGACTGCTGCTGACAAGGGTGTCAAACTGTCTACAAAAGTTCCTCAGTCCAGGAACAGTCACATCGTATGACAGGGAAACTAGGTCATGGTTCCTCTGGTTATCCCCTGCTTTATTGGCATCGTCCCGATACATTAAACTCTTGATACACTTTTCAATGGCCTAAAATTAATGAAAATAT